GGCTCTGTGGGGGCCATACCGTCTCTTCCAGAGATCGGGGCTCTGTGGGGGCCATACCGTCTCTTCCAGAGATCGGGGCTCTGTGGGGGCCATACCGTCTCTTCCAGAGATCGGGGCTCTGTGGGGGCCATACCGTCTCTTCCAGAGATCGGGGCTCTGTGGGGGCCATACCGTCTCTTCCAGAGATCGGGGCTCTGTGGGGGCCATACCGTCTCTTCCAGAGATCGGGGCTCTGTGGGGGCCATACCGTCTCTTCCAGAGATCGGGGCTCTGTGGGGGCCATACCGTCTCTTCTAGAGATCGGGGCTCTGTGGGGGCCATACCGTCTCTTCCAGAGATCAGGGCTCGGTGGGGGCCATACCGTCTCTTCTAGAGATCAGGGCTCTGTGGGGGCCATACCGTCTCTTCTAGAGATCAGGGCTCTGTGGGGGCCATACCGTCTCTTCTAGAGATCAGGGCTCTGTGGGGGCCATACCGTCTCTTCTAGAGATCAGGGCTCTGTGGGGGCCATACCGTCTCTTCTAGAGATCGGGGCTCTGTGGGGGCCATACCGTCTCTTCTAGAGATCAGGGCTCTGTGGGGGCCATACCGTCTCTTCTAGAGATCAGGGCTCTGTGGGGGCCATACCGTCTCTTCCAGAGATCGGGGCTCTGTGGGGGCCATACCGTCTCTTCCAGAGATCGGGGCTCTGTGGGGGCCATACCGTCTCTTCCAGAGATCGGGGCTCTGTGGGGGCCATATCGTCTCTTCCAGAGATCGGGGCTCTGTGGGGGCCATACGTCTCTTCCAGAGATCGGGGCTCTCTGGGGGCCATACAGTCTCTTCCAGAGATGGGGGCTCTGTGCGGGCCATACAGTCTCTTCCAGAGATCGGGGCTCTGTGGGGGCCATACCGTCTCTTCCAGAGATCGGGGCTCTGTGGGGACCATACCGCCTCTTCCAGAGATCGGGGCTCTGTGGGGACCATACCGCCTCTTCCAAACATTGGGGTTCTGTAGGGATCATACCATTTCTTCCAGAGATCAGGGCTGTATGGGTGCCATGCAATTTCTTCTATAGCTCAAAGCTCTGTGAAGACCATACCCATCTATTCCAGTGATCGGGGCTCTCTGGGGGCCATAACAACTCTTCTAGAACTCCTTGCTCTTCTTTTCACTGAAGATAGTTTTCTATGACTTTGGCTGTATGTTTGGGGTCATTGTCCTGCTGCTGAATTCATTTTGGACCAGTCTGATGCCACCCGGGCATTGCATGATGGATATGTATCTGCCTGTACTTTTCAGCATTGAGGAGACCATTATTTCTGACAAAACCCCCAACCCCATGTGCAGAAATGCAGCTTAAATCCTGCAAGGAACCTCCACCATGCTTCACTGTAGACTGCAAACACATATCCTTGTACTCACTCTCCAAGCCCTTGGCAAACAAACTGTCTTCTGTTACATCCAAATATCTCAAATTTGGGCTCATCAGTCCAGAGCTCCTGCGGCCTTTTTTTCCCGCACCCGTTTTTGTGTTTTCAGTCATTGGTAGATTGCGCGGCCTTATTTCCAGGTCGGAGATGTAACTTGTTACATGCCTTTGTGGTGTTCCATGTTGAACAGAAGAATTTGTTAGCGCACTCCTAGGGTGGTGTGTTGTGTTGTGGCTCCTGGTATTGTTAGACTGAGGTGTCTAACTGTGTGAAGTTGAATGGAAAAAAGGAAGGAGCGCAACTGACTGGCACAGGATGTAAGGATGGGAAAGGGTCATGGACAAAGATGAGGTATTGGCACTTACGTGTGATCGGAAGAAGGTGCACAAGGGTGGAGTATACTTCTGATGGGGTAGTGGGGGTCTCGCCGCATGGGTTGGGTGGTGTTCCATGAAGACCACTTCTGACAAAACTTCTCCGCACTGTAGATGGGTGTACCCGGGTTGCTTGCTGGTTCCTGGCAGGTCTGAGCCGATGGTCCCACTGGACATCTTCCGATTGTGAAGGGAAGTCCGTATCCTGTGCCTTTCATCTGCTTCACTGCTTCCTTGGCTGGCCACAGCATATTCTGTCTTCAACGTTGCCTGTCCTTCATGCTTCTGTAGAACAGATTGGACGTCCCGTGTCTTGTTGTGCTCAGTCTTGTCGTTGTGTAAGATTTGAATGGTCTTCAGTGACCTCAACTTGTTGGTAGATCACTATGCAAGACTGAAGGGAAGGACGGAGGTCAGATTGAAATATAATCTCTGTACTCCGGATTCAGGAAGCTTTTTTATAGTGCTCTGGTTGGGACAGCTGCCTCTCCTCTCATGATTCTGTGTTGTAAATCCTCTCTCTCTTTTAGAATAGCAGCTGTAAGGGTGGGTGGCTTTACAGATATGGATGTGAGGGTCCCTCTGCATGCATGCCACAGATTCAATGCAAATTTTAATGTTGGACCCGAGTGAGCCTTATAAGTACGATATAGCCTGCTGAATCTGATGCTTGTCATGTGAACTCAAGATCAGTATTCGGGAAAACTTGCTCTGGTGGTGTCACGGCTCTCTGAGCCCCATTTTGCTGCTATGGCTGGTAACCATGGCATTTGGTCACATGACTGTCATTGGAAGGCTAAAGCCATGGCTCCTTCGAGAAGAGTTCTAGGCTCCTCATGTGCCATCTCTGAGTACATCTGGATAGGACAGTTGGGATTGGGGAGGATATGTTATAAATTAAAACCATAAAGGGCCTGCGTGGACTATAGTTTGCACTCAAGGTCACCTCTTTACTGCATTGCCGACCTTCCATGACTCTACAGAGGAAATTAAACTATTAGAGGGAAGTGCCCTGTTTGTCTTTGATAACGTGTTGTCGTTGTATTCATTTCTGGTGTGCTGAGGATTTGATTTGTTCCTCTTGATTATAATATAACCGGACGCTGGAAACGTGCGCAATTCAGATAAGGGGGCACGTCGAATTGTTTTCAATTTCTTAGATGTGGCGTGTACAAGTAGATGGCGTGTGTAGGAGAACCGCCGCCGCTCCCAGCCCTTGTCCGCATTGAGATACCTGCTTCTCCTTTTGTACTTCCTTGAGGGCATAATAGCTGTAGATCCGGTTCCTCACCTCAGAAATGCCTCCGCTGACTTGCATTTCTGTCTACTGCTACCATTCCGATAAAAACAAATGTATTATCTTTATTAAGTTACTTCCTTGTAGATATTGTATGAGAGTTAACTGTATGTTACACTTAGTGGTTTCTTTATTGGGTCCATCTGTCTAGGAGTCACATAGCTCTTCACTAGGTCTGGACACTGCACAGGAAGACTCTTCTTTGCCTTCTGAGCAGCTGGAATCCTTCTCATCCTGGAGATGGACCCAGCAATCTTCAGGAGGTGTTCCTCAGGGATTTGCCCCATGCTGGCTCTGGAACATTTCTTGGCCTGGGCTAAACAATCTACAGGAGATGTTCCTCAGGGATTTGGCCCTGGAACATTTCTATGCCCGGACCCAACAATCTTCAGGAGATGTTCCTCAGGAATTTCCTCCATGATGGCTCTGGCATATCTGTTGGCCTGGACCCAACAATCTACAGGAGATGTTCCTTAGGGATTTGCCCAATGCTGGTTCTGGAAAATGTCTTGGCCTGGACCCAACAATCTACGGGAGATGTCCCTCAGGGATTTGCCCCTGCAACATTTCTAGGCCTGGCCCCATCAATCTTCTGGAGGTGTGCCTCAGGAATTTCCTCCATGATGGCTCTGGCATATCTCTTGGCCCGGACCCAACAATCTACAGGAGATGTTCCTCAAGAATTTCTTCTATGATGCCTCTGGCATATCCCTTTGCCTGGACCCAACAATCTACAGGAGATGTTCCTCAGGAATTTCCTCCATAATGGCTCTGGCATATCTCTTGGCCCGGACCCAACAATCTACAGGAGATGTTCCTCAGGAATTTCCTCCATGATGCCTCTGGCATATCTCTTGGCCTGGAGCCAACTATCTTTAAAGGGATGTTCCTCATGGATTTGCTTCATGCCGGCACAGTGATACTGGCCTGAATCCAACAATATTTAGGGGATGTTACTTAGGAGTCAACACCGTCACATAGTACTTTACTAGGTACAAGCACTGCAGAGTAAATCACTCCCTTGCCTTCAGTGCAGCTGGACTTCCTCTTTGCCTGGAGTTGGGACTCAACCATCTTCACGAGATTTTCCGAAGGGGTTTCCTCCATGCTGGCTTTGCAATATCTCTTGGCCTGGACCCAACAATCTTCAGGTGATGTTCCTTATGGGTTTGCTCTATGCTGGCTTTGTAATATCTCTTTGCCCAGACCCAGCAATCTATAGGAGATGTTGCTTGGGGATTAGCACAACCACATAGCTCTTTACTAAGTACAAGCACTGAAGGGGAGGATGCTTATTTGCCTTCAGAGCAGCGGGAATCACTCGGTTTGGAGATGGACCCAACAATATTCATGAGATGTTCCTCATGGATTTCCTCCATGCTGGCTCTGGAATCCCTCTTCATCTGGACCCAACAATATTCAGTAAATGTTATGCAGGGATTTGCTCCATGCTGGCTCCATAACATCACCACACTTCCCAACGTTCAGAGATGGGAAAGAGGGAGAGTCGGGGAAGGTATTATCTTCTTTTTTGCAACTGTTAGTCGAACTCTTTTTCTATCGGGAGTCGCTTTGAAGGACTTGTGTCATGTGCACCACATTCTACCCGTTCATCTCTATTTTGCGGCAAAAATTGAGGTACCTTAACTTGATGGGTCACTGAATCAGCTAAGTAGTCCTCTAAGGATCCTGAGGTCCCACCCACGCCTGTGCATTTTACGTGCCATGTGTTGTATGTGTGTATTATGGTTTGCATATTAGACCATTGAACTCTCTGTATGGGAATCGGTATTACCGATGTGATGAGCCAGACTGCCTGTAACACATCTGAAGCATGCAGGTGTGTGTAGGACCTCACTGATGGACAGCTATGGTGATGAATATCTCTTTATAATGGTTGGTTTCTTTCTTTGCAGACAATAAGCTGTTGGAAAAGTCAGTTTTTCTGAAGGATCTGACTGAAAAAATCCAAACTGAGCCGGTCTTCTTATCCGGGACCCACCATGCAGGAAGGTGAGTACCGCAACCTTTGATTCCTGACAAGTGGAACAAACAAAGGTGGGCGGGGACACCCCATGGGGGGGCGCTGGAACACACAGAGGTGGATAGGGACACTCCATATAGTATAGGCAGGAATGCATAAAGGTGCGTTATAGCACATGAAGAGCAGGAACACACAAAGGTGGGCAGGGATACCCTATGGCAGATAGGAACATGCCAAGGTGGTCACGGAAACCCCAAACCTCTTATTTTGGGCAGGGACACAGAGGTGAGCTGGGACACCCTATGGAAGAAAGGAACATGAAGGGTGGGTGGGAACACCTCTTTGTTGGGCAGACATGCATAGGTAGACTGGGACACCCCAAGATGGGCAGGAAAACACACAGGTGGGCAGGGATATCTGTGGTGGACAGGGACAACCCATGGTGGGCAGGAGCATGTAAAAGTGAGCAGGTACACCCTGTGGTGGGAAGGAACAGGTTTATGGGGAAGCCCCATGGTGGCTGGGGAAGCACAAAGGAGAGAAGGAACACCCCTGACTCCAAGGTGAACAGAAGCAGAGCCAGGAATTGCGGCAGAATTGGCTGTTGAAGGGGCACAGGGCTGACAACAGGTTGCAATCTAAGCTATCTCTGGCTGTCGATGGATTGGGTTTTGACAGGGTTAGGGTTTCAGGCACTGGGTAAGAACTTTACTTTGATTAAAGCATTTGCTGAAATGTCCTGAACGCTTCCTGATTTTCTGTATTTCAGGTCTCCGTCGGGTACGTCCTGCAGTCCTGGATCAGGTGACCTTCCCGCACTACAGAAAGAAATTGCTGACCTGAAGATTTCCAATGGTGAGGTATGTACTGCCAATGCAGAGCCTTCTGACATGAGGCAGCAGAATGAGAGTCAGGTGTCCTGGTGGCCAGTAAAGACTTCTTCAAAGACCGATATAAACCATCTCCAGAGTCAGCCAACCCCCTGGATCCTCCAACAGTGAGATCTTACTGCCAAAATGTCTGACCCTGTTCCTGTGAACCTTGGAGTTTTGGGTGTCCCCGCCCACATCTGTGTGTCTCCGCCCACCTTTGTGTCTTCCAACATTTTATTTTACATTCTCCATAATATAACATGAATAGAAATGCAGCACAGGGATGGTGGGGGCCCCTCATAATGGGCACAGCGGGTGTACAGACCCGGGAACTCAGCACAGGGATGGTGGGGGCCCCTCATAATGGGCACAGCGGGTGTACAGACCCGGGAACTCAGCACAGGGATGGTGGGAGCTCCTCATAATGGGCACAGCGGGGGTACAGACCCGGGAACTCAGCACAGGGATGGTGGGAGCTCCTCATAATGGGCACAGCGGGTGTACAGACCCGGGAACTCAGCACAGGGATGGTGGGAGCTCCTCATAATGGGCACAGCGGGTGTACAGACCCGGGAACTCAGCACAGGGATGGTGGGGGCCCCTCATAATGGGCACAGCGGGTGTACAGACCCGGGAACTCAGCACAGGGATGGTGGGAGCCCCTCATAATGGGCACAGCGGGTGTACAGACCCGGGAACTCAGCACAGGGATGGTGGGAGCCCCTCATAATGGGCACAGCGGGTGTACAGACCCGGGAACTCAGCACAGGGATGGTGGGAGCCCCTCATAATGGGCACAGCGGGTGTACAGACCCGGGAACTCAGCACAGGGATGGTGGGAGCCCCTCATAATGGGCACAGCGGGTGTACAGACCCGGGAACTCAGCACAGGGATGGTGGGAGCCCCTCATAATGGGCACAGCGGGTGTACAGACCCGGGAACTCAGCACAGGGATGGTGGGAGCCCCTCATAATGGGCACAGCGGGTGTACAGACCCGGGAACTCAGCACAGGGATGGTGGGAGCCCCTCATAATGGGCACAGCGGGTGTACAGACCCGGGAACTCAGCACAGGGATGGTGGGAGCCCCTCATAATGGGCACAGCGGGTGTACTGACCCGGAAACTCAGCACAGGGATGGTGGGAGCTCCTCATAATGGGCACAGCGGGTGTACAGACCCGGGATCTCAGCACAGGGATGGTGGGAGCTCCTCATAATGGGCACAGCGGGTGTACAGACCCGGAAACTCAGCACAGGGATGGGGGGAGCTCCTCATAATGGGTACAGCACGTTAGATGGAAAACAAATCCTCCTTTTCCGTAGTAAATATTGGCAGATAACTGGCGGGCGGGAAAATCCGGAATTTGTTTTGTTTAGTGAATTGACTCTCTTTTGTGTTTCTGTCGATTTTTTATTTTTTTGGCAGTTGGCATATGAAGCCTTCGAGCTAAAGAAACGCATGCAGGAGAGAGGTGAATGGCTGACTGATCAGAGTGAAAAGTGAGTGTCGGGAATTTTATGCATTTTATTCTCCAGGCAAAAAAAAAAAGTTCAGGTAACTCTGAAATATTGAACATTAAAAGAGAACTGAGGTAAGTTTTTTTCCCCCATAGTTCTCCTTAGGGTCACGGGAGCACACAAACTAGCGTCCTCCCGTCACTCTAGGCTCAGTATGTAGGGAGCTACAGCTCGCGGTATACTGAGACGCCCTAGCCGGAGCGGATCCCGACGTAGATGACGAGATCCGCCCAGCCGCGTGAGTGACAGCTGGCTCTGCCTATCTAGAGGCAGAGCCAGCTGTACCCGCCCACTCCCCCGTCCGTTCCGCCAGTCAGCGCTGG